ACCCTGTTGTTGTTAAGTGCCATCAAGCAGTTCTGATTCATAGCAACCTTGTACAGTGTTTCCCAGGAGCGGCTGGTGAGTTTGAACCACCAACCTTGCAGTCGAGTGCTTCTCCTACAGCATCACAGCAGGAGTTGTTTAAATCACAAAGTACTGAACTGCATCATGCTTCATGACATTGTCTAAGTCATTGGCTAAGCGACCCAAATCTCAGTGAGGTCCAATTCGCCTTTTCTATGGACTCCAACTTCCCATTATGGCTAACTGCAACAGACACTGGAATCAAGAGTCAGGTTTGCCATTTAGCTCTGATGGGTTTTTGTTTTTTGTTTTTTGTTTTTTTGTTTGTTTTTTTTTTGGTAATGTAGTCATGCTTCATACTTTCATTGTATAACTTTTTCTTTCCTTGTTGATGGGAAAACAGTAAATTGTCATTACATATTGTTTTTGTTAAGAGAGCCTCCCGCTTTCCCCTTCAAAAAGTTTTGTGGGATTTTTTTTCAAGTTTTTATTTTGAATTGAGTGAAAGTTTACAGGGCAGGTCATCAGTTTTACATTCTACAAATCATACACTTTGTTTCATTACAATGATTATAATCCCCTCCATGTGCCGTCAGTTAACAATATTTCTCTCTATTCATTTTAGCTCTTATTTTTAAAAAAATACTCAGGCATACAAGTGGCCACCAGTTCTCAGTCCCGCTCTTTCCGTGAATCTAGTGTCCTCAGCTGCTCCCTCTCTCCATGTCCCCATCTTCTAATCCTTTTTAAACACACTGACCAGATTCAAACACAGATGTTCTAGTAGCATAGGTGGCTGGTACTGTGAAGTTTCACTGAGTCGATTTCCACCAGAGCAGAAATCTTATTAACAAATGAGGGGACTTCAAAAAGTTAACTTTTCACTCCATTTTTCCACGAATTTGAAGCCTGCTCTCTATAGAGAACAGAGCCCGTGCTCACCGTGAGACCCCTGTCAGACCCCTCCCTGCATGGGTGTGAGGATGAAAGCAGTTGGTGTGGAATGCTCACAACAGCGTCCACCATGAAATGCTGGGGGGAGGGGCGGGGTGGGACTTGCTGAGGGGATTTTAGAAACCTCCATTCTGATCGCCTTCCCTAGTTCCATCCAGGTCTGTCTGTCTTTCTGTTTAAACTCTCAGTTCCTCTGGTTTCTGTTTTCCAAAACACTCCTGACCTCTTGCCCCACCAGTCCCCACCACACATAGAAACATCGAGTGGGTTCTGTGACTGGTGAGTCCAGCAACAAGCTGGGCTTCGTGGGCAGCACCCCTCTTATCTAGGGGCCACGGCCTCAGGAAGCTCCCACCCGCCCCAAGTGTGACCGGGTTGATCCCTTCAAAGGAAGGTCTGCTGTGGCCCAGAAGAGCAGCTGGTGGTCTGTCTAGTTCCAGAGTAAGTAGGAAGACATGCATTGGTCCTGCATACCTAAAGCTGGGGCAGGAGGGTTTATAATAATAAGGGTGGTACTTTGATGATCTGTCTCCTCCCAGTAGGTCCCCCTGTGCTGATTAACATGTGCTAATTAACAGAGAATTCTGGGGCTCAACACCAGTTGAGAAAGTTTCTCATGACCTGACACTGCTGCTGAGTCCGGGACTAGGAACTGTTGACACTCCTTAATGTGAGGGAGCTCCTTAAATATGAGGGAGCACCTTAAATATGAGGGAACTCCTTAAATATGAGGGAACTCCTTAAATATGAGGGAGCTCCTTAAATATGAGGGAACTCCTTAAATATGAGGGAACTCCTTAAATATGAGGGAGCTCCTTAAATATGAGGGAACTCCTTAAATATGAGGGAGCTCCTTAAATATGAGGGAA